TAAAGATCGTTGGTTTCAAGTTACTGTTCTTAAAGAAAATATATTCTTGCTTTATAAGCTTAGCACTTTCTTTTACATATTGAAAATGTACGGGACGGCAGTAAAGTGTCAAGGATGGTTTTTCATTATTTTATAGTGATTCACCAGATTCTTTAATATAATGTTTAATTGGAATAATGCAGCATAAAAATAAAGATTCTGTTCCTCATCATAACTGATACTTATCTTGTCTTCTGTACTTTGTTTGTATAATGATTTGTCGGTTGAACCATCGAATCCTACTTTGTGTAGGATTAGACAAGAATAGATTTCTCAGGAGCCTTTACAGACTTATTGAGTATTTTTAATAACCTGTATGTAGTATGGTCAATAAGGCTTTGTAAATCAACTGAGGCTGAATAATCAGTAGTTTGTTTCCACAATCAGTTACGCTTAAATCTTTTTCTTCCCTTCATTATAAGTTGGATACAATTTGTTTCATTTAGAAACTTCTCCAATGCAAATTGTTTGGTAATCGGCTTTACTAAGTCGGCAGTCCAAAATCAACGCTAATGTTTTTTCTCCAGTATACATTGTTGTTGAATTAACTGATTTTAATATTTGCTTCACAACCTTGAGTGTAAAAATGTAAATTTGAGGAGCGAGGTAAACACAATCCACTAAGAAAAATTATCCCGTTTAGTATTTTTTTTTTTTTTTAAATAAATAAGATAAATTAAAATGACTATAGTATTAAGGTTAATGTATCTTTGCATCGCTGAACCTTTTTTCCTCTTTTAGTTTTACAATAAGTGAATAAAATAGTTCCTCTCTTTCAACAGCAATATTTTTTTTTTCTGCTCTCCTCTTTTTTGTTTTTTCAGAAACTTGGGTGAATGGTATGGAATTTGCATCTGGTGGTCTTCCGTTGACAACTAATTTATATTAAAGTATCAGATGATTGTATTTACTATAAACTTTTGTTAAAACACAATTAAACAGTGAAAAACATCATAAGTGCATTAATTTAATTTGTATAAAATATCATACCTAAATTGTGAGAAGAAATAGGAAAGGCCAAGTCTGAGTTTAGGCCTTTGTCTAGTTTATCTGTTTCAAAACATGCATCGCTTGTTTGTAGTTCTTTTTCTAACCAGATTTTTTAATGCAACTCAAATCTATCCTTGTATCTGTTTACTTTATTCCATTTTTTGTTAAACTGTTTAGAAAATAATTTAAAGTCTATGTCAGAAATTCCTGTAACTTTATAAGCATCATGGTTGGTAACTGATTTGATTAAATTGTTTTCTAAAGCATGAAACAATTTTTGAGTACTTTATTTTTCATAGTGATTGGTTTAAAATAAATTATAGTTTTTTAAAGTTTTTATATTGGATTCGTATTTTACATAATTAAAAACATTATTGATCATTAGCTGAAATAAGTTTAAGTTTATAAATAAACCACATTACTTAATAAAGTGGAATAGCATTATAATTTAATGTTTTTTGTAGTTTCCGTAATTGCAGTTAATTATTTAGAGTTCATACTTAACAACAATGTGCTTTGAACAATTAAAAATGACAAACAAGTAGTATGTTTAAAACTTGCTAAATTTTAATTGGCGCAACTTTGGGCAAGATATTTTTAATGAGAAACCTACAATATTAAGACACTGTAAAAAAGTTAATCCCATTGTGGGGAAACATGGGCAAAACAAGTTCTTGAACCATTTATGGTAACTTTTTATTATGTTTTGTAATACTTTTAACTGTCATATTTAAAGTTAAAAAAAAGTCCTAAAATACAAGATTATTTTTATTTGTTAAATTTTCTAAAATAAAGCATGTAAATTTTAATAATATTAAAAAAAACTGCGCTTACGAAATGAAAATTAATTTTATGAGTATTTTTTTTTTTTTTAAATTGACAAGCTTGAAAACTTTCCCTGGACTCCTAAAACAAAAATTAAAATATTTAAACGACAGATTTTTTTATTGTGGAATATTTACTTTTAAAATATTATGAAAAAAAAGTTTCTACAAATACTCATTTTCGGCATTTATGCCAATCTCTGGCCCACTGTGTTATAGTAAGAAAAAAAAAAACATATGATATTACCTTACATTCGAATTTTGGTAATATTACTTCTAAATGTGACTTTAGATTACAATTTTTGAGAAAGTTCTTCAATGTCAGTTTATTTATCTGAGTTGTTTCTGAGTTGCGCTATGACTGTTTAATGATTTTGGGCCTTTTTTTCACTTAAATAAATTATTTTTAAGTGTTTGGTTCAAATCAATTTAAAAATGAATTTTCTATAAAAAATTTGAAGAAATTGAAACATGCCCATTTATTACCAGTTCCAGTTGGTTTATTGACAATGAAATATTTATAATTAAGTGCTAGATAATTAAATACTTTTAAAATTTACCATACTTGACTCTCAGAAAAAGCACATTTTTTTATGCTTCTTCTGCCACCTCAGCCAAAGTAGCGCTTGCTAGCCTAAGCTACCTTTTTCTAACATATCTGACAGCATCAGAAAACAGGTTGTAAGTAACGGTGATCTTTACCAAAGAATCATTGAATGAATAGAAAAAATTTCTAAGGTTAGTAGAGGAGGATTTAGAGCATCTTTTAGGAAAAAAAAAACAAAGAAATTCTTAAATAACTAAAATAATCAAAATTTCTTTAGGCAACAGTTGATAAATTGTAAAGAAGAGCAATAAAAAAAACTTGGATTGTTCTAAACAAGGCCTTTCATAAATCTGCTAAAATTGATTATTCAATAAAAATGAAAATAAAAAGTTCCTTTTTGATTAAAATGGAACAGTATATAGCAAATTTGTTTATTGATCACTTTACAGATGCATCACCTGAGCTAAGACCAAACAATTTTAATCTCATAAACCATTTCAAATATCTTCCATTTCACAATGTTTTTTAATTATTTAAATTCACCTTCCTAAGGCCACTACAATTGAGGAGGCAAATTTTAGTTATGGTTACAACCCTCTCTAGACTCTGTAACTCTGAAACACAAATCTTTACAAACAAAGCCACTGCGAAACAAGCTGAGTGCAGTACTACCATGGACATAGTTGGGATAGCACTTGGAACTTCTTGTTATTGAGGCGAGCGTTCTACCACTACACTATTACGGCATGATATTTCGAATTTAGATTATAAATGAGTAATTTATTCAAATTGTTAATAGTTTTGCTCTACAAAGGAGTTATGGTTTTGATCTGTAACAAGTTAATTATTTAAGGTTGCTCAGTTTGCAATTAAAAATCTTGGTAAAAAGCCAAATTTGAGATTTTTTTGAACATAAAAAAATAAATCTTGACTACCTAATAACAGCCAGCCCGGAACCATAACAAAATACAACTGTTCCAAAGTGCATAGAAGTGAAACAAAAATGCTCATCAATAAATTTAATTAAAGAAAATTTAGGGAGACTCTAGAAATACAAAAAAACATATGGTCTGCTAGAAACGAAATATTATCATGGTTAAGACCAATGTCAAAACTTTTAGACACCATCTTTTTAAATTCTAACAAATAAGAAGCCGTTCAACCACTGTCTTTAATAGAACAATATTATCAAAAATTTCTAAAATATAAAATGTTTTAAGTAATAATTCTAAATATAATAATAATAATAATAATAAACAACAACATCAACAACAACAACAACAACCTATAAATATATGTACATATTTCATCTAGAAAACTGTCTAAATGTTAAGACTCAACATTTAAAAGTTAGTTTGTAAAATGTATTATAGCAGTGCGCAATGTTGGAATATTAAAAACATAGTCTTCTACAAAAACCTAAATTGCAGGGGCTTTAATATATAACTTGACTAAGGGTTTGGGTAATACTTGGCAACAGGTATATTTTAAGATAAAAATAGCAGCAATAAAACAACCTTAACTAGCTATCTTAAAATATAAGTAACACTATAAAATATTAATAGAAATATTGTTAGAGCTATTTAATGAATTTTCTTTTACCATAATTTGTAGATACTTCTTGGCCACAACCTAATATTTCGGTCTATGTACGTACAATAAACAATAACAAGATATCTATAATAATTATGCTTTTACCACCATTTGCCAAGTCATTGCAAAAAATGAATTATTTTAAAATTAATTTAAAAATATCAATATCACGATATCACGTTGGCACTTTTTTTATTGTTGTTGTTTTTATGTAGCATAAGTAATTGTTATAGTAGCATTTCATAGTATTAAGTATTCAGTTTTTATTTCTTTAACATTTCATAAAAATTATTTTGCAGTTTAAAAAAAATTCTATTTTAAATTTCCTGGTTTTATTTAAAATTTTTATTTTGAAGTTTGTTAATTTTCAAGCAAGTTATAAAGTTCAGTTTTTTTATCTTGGTAATAGTTCAGAAGAACTATTACCAAGATAAAAATTAAAACAAAGAAAAAAAGTTTTAACTGTCCAAAAAAAACAATTGACTTGAAATTTCATTCATTAGATATAGTACTATTAAAAAAAACTTTATTTACCATATAAAATATATATCAATTTAATAATAATACTATTTTGAAATTAACTTCATTCATTATTTAAAATAAATTTAATTGATTATCAACAGCAAGTTTCATTTATTAACAATAATAATACTATTATGAAATAAAATTTATTCATTGTTAAACAATGAATAAATTTTATTTCATAATAGTATTATTATAGTAAATAAATGAAACTTGCTGTTGATAATCAATTAAATTTATTTTAAATAATGAATGAAGTTAATTTCAAAGTAGTATTATTATTAAATTGATATAAACTTTATTAAAATAACTTTTAAACAATGTTTAAAAGTTAACTTTATTTGTTATGTGCAGTAAAAATTATTAACTATAATAATATTCAAAATTAAATTTAATTCATTATTTAAATAAATTTCATTAATTTACTATAATACTACTATTCTAAATAAAACTGTATTTTATTAATTTAATTTTTTCTCTTGTAGTATTTAAAAGATACAGTCATAGGTGGACTTTATGTGGAAAATTATTATGATGATTCACCTGTAAAAACTTCTGAGTTGGGTTATATCTTTTTCGAAAATAAGTTATTAGGTCGCCCAAGACTTCGTCAAGTTCGAGTTAGTAATGAATCTTGCATGTAAGTTATCTTCATTTTTTTTATTTATATGCATTAAAATGGTGCTCAAAACCTACACAACAACATATACAATTCGGCTTCTCCCACCTTTTAATGTGCTCTATATAGTAAAGTAACATTAAACTAAAGATGTTAACCCCATGTGGCAAATGGGGCTAATTTCAAAATATTTTCAGGGGTGCCACTTGGTCCTAAAAGATTTGACAATATTATCAAAAAAAGAAAAGTTTTTTCAAAATTATCTGTTGGGTCTCAAATGAAAAAAATTAAGCAAAGATTACAAAAGTAGTAAACATTTTATATAAAATAAACTGAAAAAATTTTGTTACCAAAAAAACTTTTATTTTTAGTTAATGTAATTTTTTATGCATTTAATTCTTTTATATTTATTATATAAATGCCTAAAAAATGAGGAAACTTTGTTTTATTTATTTTTAGGTTAAGTTCTAATTTTGTAAGCTTTTTAGTTTCTAAAAGCTTATGAATGGTCAATTTCATGCTGTTTGACATTACATTTGGAAGAAAAATGTTATCTACATTTTTTTATGTTACTTCTCCTCACTAGCTAATAAACACAAATAAAAATAGAAAACAAGAGAAGCTAAAAGTCTTTTGCTCAGATACAATCGTGCAAAGACTAGCTACATTTCTACACTGTCTACCTTGTCAACACTACCCTATTGGCCTCATGAGTTCACAAAATCCTGTTCTTTTGCTAATTTATTTCTGTATATTCTTTACTTCAAGAACCATCTTTTTAAATTTTTAAAAATCCAATTATTTCCAATATTTTCTGTATGGTTTCAATATCTCTATTTACAATGAATCCCTGTTTAACTGTACACAGTTATATAAATCACAAAAATTACAGTTGGTACTTCCGAGGCCTTAGTATACATTTGATGCTTTTTCTGTTCAAATTATTTGCAACTTATTGTTAACTTTCTCTTTGATTGTTTTGATATGAAAAAAAAATGATTTAAAAAAGTTTAAGGCTGCATCATTAACTTTTACGATCATTGTAACACAGATTTTGTTAAAATAAATTATGTTTTGTAGTATTTGCTTTATTTTATAGTTTATTTTAATTATACATTTGAATATTTCAGAGTTCATGAATATTTTCGAGATGAAATAAAAGAATGTTATGCCCCATACTCACCTAGTACTGAATTTGTTGGGAAATTTGGTTTGGAAAATGGAACTGCGTAAGTTTGACTTAAATTTTGAATTTAATAAAAATTAATGTTATTGAAATAAGGTATATAATATGTAATTGAAATAAGGTATATAATTATATATCAACTGAAGTAAAAAAAATTATATGTGTGTATAATGTATGTATACCTAATTCTATACAGTTTTTTCACAAAAATAAACAGAAAAACAACAACAAAGAATTATGAAAAAACTTGTCTCTGCCCCAACCCAAACCCTCAGTTGATGCAGAAGCAACTCCCTTGCATGATTTCTGTATACCACTTAAAGTATATAATCAGTATGGCAAAATACTTGCCATATTGATTCATTTAAATGATTGTATAAGTGCTTCTTTTGAATCTGTACACTCAATAAAGTTCCAATTAATGACAGTTTCATAATTTTTCACCGAATATTTAATTGTTTAAGTTTATCATAAGATTTAAGTTTATTTTAAAATTAAAAAAAGTTTTATGGTTTAAAAAATTTATAAGTAACTTTTATTCATACAATAGTTTGTTTATTATCTTTTAAGTTTAACAATATTCTTATGTTCTCCACTGTATCTTTCTTACAACAGGAATGTTCAATTTCAACTCCACCTCTTTAATAACAAACAAATTTTGGAAATAAAAATTGTAATTTTTAAATAAAAATGTCTGAAGATATGAATTTTTGTATTGATAAATTTTTTTACTATTACTATGTTAATATTAAGTTTTTATAAATATGTTAATTTTAAGTTTTTAATTATTATTAAAAATTATTAAACTATTCAATTTTAAAATATGCTAATTCAATCAGTTTTAAAATAATCAAATTGTATCTTTGCAAATTGATATCTTAAATAAAATGCTATTTTAAATAAATATGTGATATAAAATTTATATCATAATTTTATTTAACAGTGAAAATCAACTGCAATTCCAAGTTAGCATACATTTAAACCAGATTTAGCAACAGAGTTTCAGGTTCTAGCAGAGTGAATTAAAAATTTTTGCCCCTTTTTAATAAAAAATTTTCCAATCAGGATCAGAACTGTACATCTTGATAACAAAAATTTGATCACTTTTTGAAGTAATCAAATTTTAAACCACAAATTTTTACATACTCAACTTGCAAACTAAAGTAAATTACAACCTAAGTAATAGTTAGGAGAATCTCTAAATGATTGGTGATAAACAAGCGGCAATAGATAAATGAAAGTGTATTTTAGTTGTAAAAACTTTACTAAAAACAATATGGAAAAAAGGCGTTATGAAAAATAAATAAGTTAAATTTAAGGTTTAAAGTTGATGATGCATGAATTGGAAGCAAAATTTTTATATAATCAGGTACACCATACAGTAGATCATGATATATGTGGAACTATCATCTTTTAAAATATATTTGATGTTTTTTCTTTTTGAACTACTAAAAGAATTATCTAATTTATTTATTACTTTAAATTTAAACTTTGTTTATATGTTCAATTTATATCCCATATACACTTCATATGCTTAATGTATATGCTGTATATGTTTTATATTTTCAATATATATATACAGTCAGGGACAAACCCAAACCTGTTTTAGTACTGCTGGAGCGGTATGGGTGCCCAAAAAAAAACGCCCGAAAATTATTTTATCTTTTAATTTTTATTTTGCTTTTCTAAAAAAAATAGAAAAAAAAATTGCAGTTTTAAATGCAGTAGTATATAAATAATTTTCAGTTTATATTAGCTACTTCATTTTTTCTTCAGGACGATAAAATGAATTAAAAAGCAATTGCTTTTTTCAAATAACTATGTGATGTAACTATGTGATGTAACTATGTGATGTAACTATGTGATGTAACTGTCCTTCAGTTACATACTAAATGTTTAAAAAAAAAATTAATTGTTGCAGTTTACTATTAATTGTTGGCAATTAAAAGTAAACTGCTTTTGATAATAAATAAACAAAAGTAAAAATTTCAGTCTTAATAACTATCACAAAAATTTATTTTTTGAATGAATTTTTGACCTTTAGCAAATTTTTTGAATTTACATGAGGAAAACAAAAAAACCAAGTGTAAACTTTTTCAGAAAGTTTTGCTTCTTTTTCATATTCTAATTGACTAAAAATTAAAATAACAATTACAATAACTTAATGAAAGTTTTATTTAAATCTAGTTATTTTAAAACTGCAATGTCTTTAATCTTTAAAAAAATCCATTGTAAATGTAACTTATTTATTAAATGTAATTTTTTTAAATTATACTTAATGAATAAAAATATATAATATATTTTTTAAAATATGTTTTTTAATCAAAAAAGTATAACATTTTTAAAATAACGTTTACCATAATTATCTCTTCTTTAATTATCTTTAATTTAAAAGATGTCTTAAAATCACTTAAAAAACTATTAATCTTTAGTAAAAGTTTAATGAACAGATTTGCTAATATTTAAATCAAAATTTTAAAATTAAAATAATATTAATTGCGTTTATTAAATGTTTTTTATTTAAATAGTTATTTGAATACAAGACGCAAAACTATTTTGTTAATTTTACAAATATTACACAGTTTGATATATGTAAATATATTATGCAATGTAAATATTGATTAAAAATTGTTTAAAGTATTTAAACAATTTTTTACTAACAATTTATTACTAATTATTTAAAACAATACCAACTACTAATATTAAAAATACTAAAATATAGTTTAATAAATGTTTAAAATACTATAAACAATAACTATGGTCGCAAGATTAGACAGTCCGGAAGCATACTATAGCTTTTTATATTATCTTTATGTACCCGAAAAAAAACTCAAATCCTTTGGAGTACAAAATAGTAAAAACATAATAATTTACTTGTTCAGATAGCAGTAGTTGTGTGTCTAATTATCTCCTATTTGGTATGACTAATAAATTCTTTTCTTTATTCGAGTGGCCAAAATTTTTATTGTTGAATCATAAGGTTAAATTTAAAGGTAAACAAAAATATCTTTTAAGTACAGTTCAGTCTCTTAAATGTGTTTAATAAACTGATGTGGAACTGAAATCTCTTGTTGTTAATCTAAATTTGTTATGCCTGGAGCAAACTGCTCAATATGTGGCAGATCAACATAAAAAAGAGTTGAAAGAATACGCACTTACAACAAAAAACTTACTAAAAAATGTTTTTTTAAAGATATCACTGTGCATTGTCAAAGTAGAGCACTTCACAAATGTGCTATAGTTTCAGATGTACAAGAAAAGAAATTTTGAACAGTTTCTTAAAAAAAAAAATTAAACTAGTTTCATTTTCTAAGTAATTTGTTGAAGTTTCCAAAAACAATGTAGCATTTAAAGTTATTTATGGAAAAACATTTCATACCAGAATTTAAGCTACATGTAGAGTCTAGCTTATCCTATTCAAAGATGGAAAAGGTATACTTATTATAGTATAGAAACTACATCAAACCTCAAAGAGGTTTTAATAGTTAATATGTTCAGGAACTTACTAAATTAGTTTCAATTTTTTCAGCAATTGAATGATATATTGTACTTTCTTTTGATGAGATGAAAATTCAAAATGAGTTTGTGTGAGACAAGCACACATGTGATTTAATTGGTTTTGTTGAACTTGGTGATGATGATCTTACCCAAGTAACTTATTTTGGTGGGCTGTTGCATTATTAGAAAAAATATGTAAATTGAAAGTTATTGCTGTGACTTGTGGTAGAGCATCAACTAGTTATGCATTTTTTAAAATGCCTACACATAATGAAAATAAAGCAAATAGTATTAAATATCACAAAAAATATTTATGCAGGCGATGAACATATATGTTTTTATATATAATAAAACATGTTTTTATTATATGGTATTGTTTTTTTTTCTGATCCTCCTCCTATTTTCAAAACAACAAGGGACTGTTTGAGCAACTCTGGGTCTAACCATTGTTCAAGATATATGTGGAATAATGGAAAATATCTGTTGTGGAATCACAATCTAATTATTATTATGAAGATAAGCAATGTAATTTAAATTATTGTTCTAAAATTACTAGAGAACATATAGTATTAAATACATACTCTGATATAAATGTAAAATTAGCTTTTTAAATTTTAAGTGTCACAGTTCAAAATACATTGCTAGAATTTGAACCAGATGAAGCTTCTGATATTTCTGATATTCTGACATTTTTGCCTGTAAGTTGATAATTTTTTTGACTGTTGCAATTTTAAAAGCACTAAAGAGTACAACAAAAAAAACAAAGTATTTCTGAAACCATATACTGATAGTTTAAATAAACGATTTTACTGGCTAAAAAATACGTTTTAAAATTATTTTGTTGACTTGAGGGAAGGCATAAAAAAAAGGACCAGAAAAGTTGTCTCTAAAAGAGCTCAATAAAATGTTAGTATCAAATCAAACATTTGACAAAAGAATGGATAATTGATGATACACCGGTTCCCAAGAAGCTTAGAAAAAGGAAATAACTTTAAACTTTTTCTTTTGTTAAATCTTATTTTATAAAGTGGAACATTTTTTTTTAATTAGATTATCAGTGGATATTGTCTCCTCTGTAATCACTTTAGTAAAATTCAAAATAAGAATCTTCATAATTTTTATGTTAGCTTGTTTAAAAAACAACCTTTTTTTTTTTTTTTAACAAAACCTTTTATTTATTACAACAATAATTACTAGAAGTCTAGACTTTTAAAATTTTGAAAAATATTCTACATTATTATGTAAGTAGAAAAAACAATAATTGATTAAAATAAATTAAATAGTTATTCTAAACCAATAATGTAGTTGTTTAAATTTGTATCAATGAAAATAGCTTTATGATAAGTATTACACATTTACGACTATAATGCTAATGTTGGCAAACCTTTTTCATCTCTGATAACTGGAGTTATCAGAGATGAAAAAGGTTTGCCAACCTTTTTCATCTCTGATAATTAAAGGTTTGCCAACCTTTTTCATCCAACATGCAATATATTCTAAGCATCTTATGTCTTTTTCAGAGAGACTAATTTCCATATTTGAATTTAATTCTTCACTAATAAGCTTAGATTCTTTTGATATTAGAAAATTTAGACAAAATGTTGTTAATTCTGATAATAATAAATAGTATAGTTCTTTAGATATTACTTGTATCGCAACTGGCTCAGCTGTGTACTTTTGGTGAAGTGTAGAATATAATTTTTCTGCATTGCCTTTGTATTTATTCATTTTTTGTAAAAAAAAAAGATTCAACTTCTAAATACTCTTTTACAGTTGCAACCATGTTTTTGAAACATTCTTGATCTCCACAACAAAAACAATCATCTGTTAACAGTTTATACTTTGCACTTGTCAATAGATTTCCTAACTGTGTACTTTGAATACAAATTTCATTACTGACAATCTTGTGTTTAAAACTTCTGTCTTTTTAGACCACTATCTGTTTTTTCGAGCAGTCTCTACAATTTAGAGTCTCTCTACATCCTTCTGATGGTGCTGTTTCAATTTTTTGATAAAATAAATCGCATTCTAATTGATCACTTTCTATCAAACTCTTTATATTTTTAATGTATATGCTTTATATGCTCAATGCATATATTTAATGTATATGCTGTACAACCATTATGCTGTTGTATATACTTTGAATACATAATGTGTATGCTGAATATGGTTTATGGTTTATATGCTCAATGTGTGTGCTTTATATGTTTTTTGTACTTAATCTATATTTAAAAAAATTATTAGGTTAATCATTTGAATTCATTTGCTCATTTAATTATTCATTCATAAAACTTGATTTGATTTTAAATATAATTTTATTTTTTTATAAAAATAAGGAAATTACAAAATTTAAAAATATTTAGTTTAATAAAATTTATAGCTGGGAGTATCAATCTGAAAAAGAGCTAGATGGTCAAAGTTTTTCTGGGCCTATATCTACTTATGGAGGAGGTGGTTATACAGTTTTGTTTGGAGCAGATAGCGCAGAGTCTAATAGCATTATTGATGCTCTACAGGTTTGAGCTTTTTTATTTCTGTTTGTCATTATTTTTTATTAGATATTTATATATTATTGGATGGCTAGGGTAAATTGACAAATTTTGGGCAGCGTTGAATTTCACGGAAACAGCCTTTGGGATCAGAAAAATCACACTGTTATTAGTTTTATAACCGTGTTGTTTTATGTTTTAGTTAATAAAATCCTTTGTCATTCAGTTAATATTTTTGTCACATTACTAGTTGAATTATTTATAATAAAAAAGATGTTTTCAGTCACTATACAACAGTTTTCTGCATAAAATAGAAAAATCTTTTAACATCTAACTTTTAAACTTAACTGTGCAATAATGGAGTACAACACTTCTTTGAAACAAATATGAGTCGTTACCTATTATGTTTTAAAAAGTAATAAAATAAAAAATTAAAAAAATTACGATCTATTTTTTTGATATAAAAAATATTAGTTTTTTAGATTGCGTTTTGTGATTTTAAATAATTTTAAACAACCAATGTTAAAGTTGCTAATGGCGTTTTTAAGACAAAACAAAGAAACTTACATTAATTAACATGCTGAAAAGCAACAGGTGGTTTTCAGCATGTTAATTAATGTAATATTTGTAATCAAATTTAATCTTGTGAAAATCAAATGATTGTGTAATAAACATAATTTTGTAATCAAGCTGTTTCTCTCAATTGACAATAAACAAAGAAACTTAAGCAACTTAAGCGGTAGTGGTGTAGTGGTAAGAGCGCTCGCTTTGTAAGCGAGAGGTTTGGAGCTCAACTTAATTTCTCGTGTTTCGGAGTTAAAGAGTTGAGAAAGGGTTGTACCACGATTTACAACAACAACAAAAAAAAACAAAAAAAAAAAACAAAAAACAAAAAAAAAATGAGCCTCCTCGAATGTAGTGGCCCCCTCAGGCCATGGGGAGGTGAATAATTAAAAAAATAAAAATAAAAATAAAAAATAAAATAAAAAACACAAAGAAAAGACAAAAATACCAAAAGATACAATGAAGAAGCTATAACGGCCACTGTTGCTGATGTCCATGATAATAATTTTTCCTTGAAAAAAGGAAAGTATAAAATATAACATACCTACACAATAGGGAATCTATGGGTACAGAGAGAATATCACTCTAAAAGCTTAGAAAAAGGTGTATGCTTATGTTATATTAAATTTTAAATAGGGTTTCCTATCTGGCGAAGTTTTGATACCCAAATTTTTACCTTTAGAAATTAAAAAAAGAATATAAAATCTTATTAAAAAAAAAAAATGCTCTTTATTGTATTTAAAAAAAAATTAAATGCAAATAATATTTTTAGACCACTGCAAGTTTTTTTGATACTTGTTTCTTAGTTATTATTTTGTATAAATCCTATCTGCAAAGCAGATTTTGCACTTTTCAGGGTAAGCATTAAAAATATTTTTATAAGACTTTTATGAATAAAAAGTTCTTTTTTTGTTTTAGGCTTTCTTTTTTTGTTTTAGAAATTAGAAAGAGGTTGTGTTATTGATGTGGTTTCAATAAAAAACAGGATAGTGGATAAACTATCTTTATCCACTATCAAATTATGTTTTAATAATACTATTAAAACACTTTAAAAAAAACAATAAATAGCTCTATTTCTGTTAAAAGCCTAATAAAATTTATGTTTTAAACACAGGTAACAACTCTCTTTGTTGAGCTTTAGCTCTAATATACCCATCTCTTGCATCTGGCCCAACTACCAAAATAGATGCTACTGTCACTTGTTTTACAGCACACTCAGTACTTTGGATATGAATTTTGAATAAAGTAGTTATTAAAGGTATCAATCTTTGCAATAACAACTATAAAAACAAGTTCTTGTACTTCTTCGTTTTACCATTTTACTAGCTCTTGAAGAGCAGTTGCTACAAAGTTCAGTTAATGTGTTTTTCTTGGTCAAAATTGCTTATCTCTAAGGATATTCTTACCCCTTTGTTTTAAAATATGGTAAACTGCAAAGTTGCAGTCTTCTGCATTAGGGTTACCCAAAAACATACTTTTTTTAAAATTTTAATGTGCTCTCCACTGATCCCCATTCTATAGGTCCTAAATAGTTACCAAAATCTTTTTTTTTATTTTTTAATGACTAGAAGTGATAGATGTAAATTCTGAGTTTTACGGTATTGTACATATGTGTATTTACATAAAAACAGCGCTATCTAGTATTTCAATAGGTTTTAATATGATGTAATTATTGGTACACAATTGATTCCCATAGGACATTATTAAAGACTAGGATCATTCCCTATGAATATTGTTAGCGATTGATATAATTCCCTCTGGACAATATTATTAGTTGGTATAATTCCTCATGGATTGGTTTACAAATAACTCCATTTAGAAATTTTTTTTGAAGGAAAAAATTTCTAAATGGAATTATTTGTGCTCAAAGGAGTTCTAATTTGTGCATGAAGAAATTCTTGTGTAAACGGTTATAAAAGCCTTAACGGTAAACTTAGTTAAAATATGATATGAGAGGGAATAACGACTTCATAGATTTTTAATGCAAGTGTAAAATTTAGTCTAAACTTAGTTAAAAAACTGATTATTTTGAATTTCATATAAAAATGGGTAGAACAGCTAAAAAAAAAGATGATAGGACAGAATAAGAAAAAATGAAAAAATACAGAAAGGTTGAGGTATATATACATAATCATTACCATATTCTATGATGCTATATACTGGTGATATTCTAAGATACTATCAATTTATTCTTCGCAAGTCACAAGTAAAATACAAGCCCACTTCTACTAATGTTGGTTGCAAATTAAAGTCCGAATCCAAGAATTTTGTTTGTGAAAATGGTGTTTGTACAGATCATGATAACTCTTGATTGGTAACTAGGATTAAAAAAATTTGGGATAATGCTGGGTTTGGCAAGAAATTTGTGATTTCTGGGTTTGAAAAAGAAATTGATTAAATTGTCTTCTCTAAACTGGAACAGCCGCCTTGATAAGCAGTCAAAGTTAGAGAAAGATTTTCTCCTAGAATCCTATCAGCTTTTTGACATCTCCACTAAGAATTTTAAAAAAGATATTCTTTCTGATAGATTTAGAACTGATGATGCCAAGCTAGAAGATATAAATTAAGTTCATTAAATAACACTTTTTTAGTAGTGAGATTTTTTTTCCGATTTAAAGTAACTAAAGTAATAGCGTATTATTTCCTTTAAAATATTTATGCTTAATTCCTTCCATGGTTTAGCTATCTTCCACGAAAAACTAGAACAATTATTAATTTATTTATAAATGTCTTGATAGAATTAACTATTTCTTAGTTTTTATGAAGACCAAAAGTTGGTAGGAAAGGATATATGGGAACAAACGTTGACGAAGACTACAGTAGGAAAGTTTTGGATACAAACAGGAGAAAGAACAAGCTAGATAAGTTGACAGAGAAAGAATTAGAGAGACAGAAAAATGTAAAAGATATCAATGATGTTTTGTTGTCACATGACTTTATGACAGAAGAGATTCAATTCAGCAGTGAAGAAGAAAAGCCAAACGAGAACTCTGAAATCAGCAAGGAAGAAGATTTCCTGGGTGACCGTCGGAAAGGCAGGTATAGTATTATTTTAATAACATAGTTGTAATTTTCCCAAGCTAAAACTATTTTATTGAAAAGTATATAATTATAAATAGGTAGAAAAGTATTATAAAATGATATCTAGGTACAATTCTGGAGAGAGAATAAATCTAGCAGTGAATTTTGAAAAGCTCATTGAATGTACTGCTATTCCAGCAACAAGGTTCAATGTTGGTATACGACCTCATCTGGCAATTTCAAGTGAAGTATTTAAAGCTGGAGGTATAGAAATTAATGATATACCGCTATCACTTCATAGAAAAAAGTTTAAATATGTAGAACTTGAAGGAGACTCGGAGTGGATTTCAATAACTAATCATCTTAAAGGCCGATGGCTTATTTTTCATTTTGATACCAAACTGTTGGAACAAATTACCACTGGGCTTAACATTATTAAGAAAATCGAGCAACTTGCAGTTTCAGTGATTTCCCGGATGACGATACCATGGAAGACCATCTTTTAGGTGTTGTTCAATGTCCCTCTTCAAAGGGAGTTGACCAAGCAGAACAAGTACACAATCTTTTAGAATATTACGGATGTAAAGAGCAGATCATTGGTATATGCTGTGATACAACTGCAAGCAATACAGGCAGAGTCAATGGGGCACTCCAAATTCTTACCGATATTTTGAAAATGCCAATTTTGTGGATAATGTGTAGGAGACACATATGAAGTACATGTATCTCACTATATGGCTACTTTTACTGGTGAGAAAACTAAAGGTCCAAGGCTCTTTATGCCAAGCTAAAGAAAAAGTGGCCTGAAATTGCGAGAAAGCGGATAATGAAGTGAAAAATTTATGTAAATTGGACTGGAAAAGAGATGATCTGAAGATTAACTCTGTTCTTCCCACTTCTTCGCAATTTTTGACAAATGCAACTACTGATATGGTGTTTTCAAGGAATGATTATGGTATAGTTTGTAAGCTTGCCTCCTTCTTCCTTGGAGCGGAAGTCCAAGATTTTAAATTCCATCAACCTGGCGCCTGCCATGAGGCAAGGTTTTTAGCAGATGCGATCTAAATCCTGACTCTTTATATGACCAAAGATATCGGTAATATCTTGACAGAAAAAGAAGTGCTGCAGTTGAAGGATGCAAGTTTGTTCATTGCAATTTGCTATGTTCCATGGTTTTTGAAAAGTTTTTTAGGATTTCTAGCTATTTTAAAGCTATCCAGATAGCCTATGCATTGAGAAATGTCAATAAGAATATTGGAAAAGCTTAGCTTCTCAGTACCGGACGCCATTCGTGGTACTTAACTCCGCAACTCTGTGTTTTGTCCTTTGGGGATAAAGAAGTTCCTTTTGAAACAAATCTAAGAATGCTGTTAACTCTGATTGAGTTTGAAGAGCCAAGTAAATTTTAGCGTTGTAAACTATCAAATGTACAAATCGGAGAG